ATTCTTCTGAATTCGAGAATTTTTTCACTAAATCAGATGTTTGATTGGGTCCCTTTGAATGCTCTCCTGGTGGTTCTATCTCTTGTCAATACCTACATTCATAGCATTTGCTGGTATGTTTGTGTATGCTTCTTTTTTCTTTCTTTCTTTTTTTTTAACCAGTTGCTGTCTCCCTCACTGCCTTCTCTTTTTTTCTTTTATCCTGATCTTTGTTCTCCTCCCCTACCGCTTTTTATATTGTTCTTTACATTTATCTACCTTACAAGTTTTCTCTCTTCCCTGTTTTCTAGTTCTATTATGTTTCTCTAGTTCATTTACCCACTGCATAGGTTTTCATATAGTTTACCTAAAGTTTATAATTTGGAAGACACGGGTACAGGTCTGTCTTTGAGATTGTAGTTATTCACATATTTGTTAGGATGGCCACATGCAATATAATTACTGTACCATGTTTTGATCCTTATCCCAATTGTGATTTCATATATCGGAATTGCCGTGTTCTCACCTGTCTTCCTGAGAAATGTTATGTGTTATATGTTATCTTGTTAAAATTATTAAATTCAATTTGAACGATGAGGGGACCTAATTGCAGTTTTTAAAATCATTAAAGGGGACCACAATATCTGGAATAAAATGTTTACACCAAGAACTGTATTTATGACACAAGGGCAGAACAAGAGGTTAGAAGAGAGGCGGTTTAATCTTACACTGTGCAAGGTTTTTTTTTTACTGTTAGTAGTAAAAATGTGGAATTCTCTTCCAAAGTAGTATTCGCTGATAGCATAGATAAATTCAAATAACTTTTAGATGAGTTTCTTAGTTCAATAAATATACAAGGATATGGGAACTACTAGAGCAGTGGTTCTCAACCTGTGTAACCTCAGGACCCACATTTGTCCTTGGTCATTAAGTCGCGACCCAAAAATAGTTACTAGAGCGTCTTTATTCAACCCTACCTACTATGTTTCTATGTTATCTAAGCGAGTGCACTGTGGGAGCTGTGTCAGGGATTCCTCAATGTTTCATTTTCCTGGGGCTAGTCTGGTGCTTGGTGTTACTGGGGCCAGTACCATTGTCTCTGGCAGTTTGACAGTAATTTTTATGGCAGTTTCTCCTTTTCGTGCCTTCTCGAATGGAGAGTCACAACTATCTTCATCTAAGTGTTGCAATCAGCTGCTTGTAGTGATGGGTGATTTTCAGCTCGACTGTCTGGCCATTACCTTAGGTTGTGGTTTTGGTCCCTCGCACTGTGTGTATGCCATAAGGGAAATGGTTTTGTCACTTGCCTAGTGTTCTGCTGTGCTGGTTCATTGTGTTCTCCCTTGCAGCTTTTGCTTTTATTCACTTCTTTAACTTGCTACTGTCTGGCACAAGATATATGTTAGGTTGCCATGTGAAGACTGCTGAGCCCATTGCACAGTTTTCTTTTTGCTGAATGTTTTGTCTGTGGCATTAAAGGAGAACTATGGGGCAAACATTTTTTCCATGTTCTCAGAGTCACAGGAGGCTATATACTGTGTCCTCCAGTGACCCAAAACTCAGTATATAGAGGGCTATTGCCTGCTATACACAGAGCGCAGCAGCCGGGACGGATCTCAACAATACTTTCAAGATCCACCCAGCTGGCTCTCTAGAGGCAGAGCCAGCTGTGCCCACCCCCTCCCCCATACATCCCTCCAGTCAGCGCTGGTGAGTGGAGACTGACAGGTAGATGATCGGGAAGTGAGCAGATCTGCATTATGTTTTCGCTCACTTCCCGATCAATAGAGCCGACGTGTGACAGTTTTAATGTCACGCATTGGCTCTAGCCATGGGGATGAGTGTAATTTACTCACCCGATAGTTCTCCTTTAAATTTGACTGTGACAGAGAAAGCTCATTTTGTGACCCTTTCCCACCTGCAGCAAAGCTTCCCATTTTGCACCCATGTCTAAAGTACTCTCTTGAGCCTTCTGGTGTGTCTTCTGCCAGCTACCTTACAGTAGAAGCCTTCTACTTTTAATTTTTAAGACCTTCCCTGATGAAGTAGGGACTTGGATTTGCTAGTCCATTAGGAGCAGGACTTATGACAGAGCAGGCCTCTGAGACTAAATCCCTACCCACACTTGGTTAGGCAATTTTGTAGGTTCTGCCCCTATGGTCTTGATTTTTACAAACCGAAGTGGAGCCACTCCGGACAGACAGCGCGAGTTGAGGGAGCTTAACAAGTGGCTCCGGAGCTGGTGTCAGAAGGAAGGTTTTGGTTTCCTGGAGAACTGGGCTGACTTCGCAGTCGGCTATCGGCTCTTCAGCCGAGACGGGCTGCACCTTAATGGGGGAGGTGCAGCATTCCTGGGGGGAAAAATGGTAGAAAGACTGGAGGAGCTTTTAAACTAGAAAGTGGGGGGGAGGGTATAAAAATAAAATTACATGGCTGGATCTAATCAGGCACTGTAGAGGGCAGCCCGTGGGGGCCTCCAGAGGTCAGCCCTGAGGAGCGAGCGGCCGCCGAGTACAGAACCGCATCTGTAGCGGCTCTGCACTCTGCACTCTTGCAAACTACCGATGTAAGGCTAACCGGTCTGTAGTTCCCCGGATGGCTTCTGAACCCTTTTTTGAATATTGGAACTAGCGTAGCCCTCCGCCAGTCGCTTGGCACTCTGCCAGTCATTAAGGAATCTTTAAAAATGATGAATAATGGTCCCGCTATAACCTGGCTTAGTTCTTTAAGTACCTTGGGGTGTAGATTATCCGGTCCTAATGCGTTATTTGCATTAAGTAGTTTGAGTCTGTGTTGTATCTCGGTTTCTGTCAACCATTGTGGAATATTTTGAGACGAACTATGTGCGTTCCTATGTTTAATAGTACCGTCTTTTTCCCGCGTGTATACTGATGAGAAAAAGGAACTCAATGCCTCGGCCCTCTCTTTGTCGTTTGTGACTAACTCCCCGTTATCATCCATTATTGGGCATATCTGCTCCTTTCTTACTCTTTTACTGTTTATGTACTGGTAAAAAAATTTGATTCTTTTTACTAACTGTGGCAATATGTTTTTCACACTCTATTTTAGCTGCCCGGATTACTTTTTTACATCTTTTGTTACATTCTTTATAATTATTGAACGCCAATGCCATCCCCTCCATCTTATATGTTCTAAATGCTACTCTCTTGTCCTTGATGTGTTGCTTTACCGATCTATTTATCCATACAGGCTTAGTTTTTGATCTTTTAATTTTGTTCCCCAATGGTATACACTTGGTAATAGCTTTTTGTAATGTGGTCTTAAAACATTACCATTTCTGTTCAGCTTATCAAAGTTAGCCTTCCTGAAGTTTAGGGTTTTTGTCCGACCAGCCGACTTTCCTTTCCTATACCCAATATTGAAGGTAATCACACTGTTACCCAGTGTCTCCCCAATTGAAATATCCTCAATTAACTCCCCCTTATTACAAATGATGAAATCTAGGATTGCATTTTTCCTAGTTGGGACCTCCACCATCTGATCCATGAAGTTGTCTCGCAACATGTGCAGGTAGATTGACAAAGGTGTGAATGGAATAAAGGAACAATGAGAAGAATAGAGATGTGAAATGATTATATGTTTATATTTATTGTAACAATGAAGTTTTATATTTCTTCCATGAATATGTCAAATATTTGTTTTATGTGGAATAATAATAAAAACAAAAATATATTAAACAAAAAAAACCTTTTCAAATCCCTTACCAGGCTCTTGCACAACTGTCTTTCTGTGAGCCTGATAGCCCGTTTGATCTTGCCATGATGGCAACACACATGCCAATATCAAAGAGAGCACCAGATATGTGAATTTTAAATAAGGGAGGTTCCTCCTGCATACACCATAAGACAGTTTATATCATTGGCACCTGATCTGGAACACCTGATTCTAATTTAATTGATTTGAAATGGTGGTATATGTATGGGTGTACCTTTTCAATGTGAAAAAATATGCAGTTTTCTCTATTCAGATTATGAAAATGAATACAGGTCAGTTTTATGCATCATTTGTTCAAGTGCACATCACCTTTATCTGTAGTCAAGGTTTGCCTGTTAAAATACTGTATGTTGGAAAAGTCAACCATTTCCATAGATTTTGAACTATTGCTGTGTTTGCAGGCTAGAATATGTGCAGATGTTACATTACTGTGCTTTGCAAGGCAGAAAGGCACTCGCTGTCCTCATGATGAATCATAGCCTCACCTGTGTAATGCATTTTTTCTGTTATGTGACCATTTACCCATATCTTTAAAATACCAACAAATACACCTTTAGAAATGTTTAGTAATGACAATCTACAATCACATAGTTATATAGTAGATAATTGCAGGCTCTGTATTCTTTGCATACCTTATTTTTCTTTTCTTCCCCAGTCTTCTGACTGGCCATGTTTACTAAGGGCAGATTACTAGCTCTCCTATTACTTCCTGGATTACTGGCACATGCGACTAGACATGTGACTAGGACATGTGACCATGCACATCATCTCAGGGGAGGAAAATGCCTTGTCCTGAGATTACAGATGAGATTTCCCAGCAATGCTCTGCTGATGACAAGGAAATCCCACTGTGTGTTGACAAACTGAAGTAATTTGCAGGAACTGAATGGTCTGCAAGTGTAAGTATTTCATAATCACATCATTTTACAGCTGACATGTCTATGTTATTATTAATCATCATACATAGTGGGATGCATTGGTAGAATTAGATTTTTGAGTGTTAAGGTCCACTTTAAGATACTAATACTTATTTCTAGAGTTTGCCTCTAGTAAGTGTTCACTCACTGCTTTAGTCTGGTGGATGTCTGAACTGCAGACCTGTGAAATACCATCTGAGTAAGAAATATACATGCATTTAATTGATGCAAAACTGTTCTTATGTTTACATATTTACACCCCTTTAATATAAAATATATTTGGTCAGATAACAAATGGTAATATTCACCTGTTTTGTGTTTTTCTTACTAAATCAATTCAATTAAATAACTTTTTTTTTTATATCTCAGGTTAAGTTCAGTGAGCTAACAATTGATATGTTTAGAATGTTACAAGCTCTGGAAAGGGAACCAATGAATCTCACCTCTCAGATGAATAAGCCTGGATTACAGGTATTTCATGATAGTTCTTTATTGGTGGATGGGCAAATATTGGGAGTTATTTATTTAAGAAATAAATGGAGTGTAGCTACACTCTACATTGTGTATGCTTTGTAATGTAATTTACTACACCATTCTTTCTTGTTCAATTTCTTTATTGGTACACACAGTAGAAAAAAACCCCAGAATATAACAAACAGTGTATACATTTATTGGATAACAAACAACATAATAGTTGGTAAAAAAAATAAATGGAGCATCTACCACTACTACACAATTCTTTGTAGGCTACAACTTATCTTTTTCATGTACCTGTAGATATACTACCACCGGCAGGTGGTTTTGAATCAATAAAATGCACATGCTTTAGAGTCCAGTGGAGCTTACTGTCCTGAAAAGGCGAATGTCTCCTTCATCTGGATTTTATAATAGTCTTCAGATCTATCCCATCAAGATGTTGCTGGCAGTTTTATGCCAAAATACTAGTTCCTTGATAGTCTTTCCCCAAGCCAGTGTCTTCCTGAATTCGCCTAAATCTGGTACTTAACTGCAGGGCCCTGTTTCCTGCATTTCTCACTGCAGCAGACACCCCGGGGGGCAGTGTTCTGCATCTGGAAATTCACTGTACCTGTCCGCCCTTGCTCCCAGGGCCAAACGAAACTTACAATTACAGACTGGTTCTAAAGACTTGCTGGTTGGTAAATAGACTGTATCATTGTAAGTTGCTTTGTTCCTTGAAAGTGTTTTTTTCTACTATGGCAGACTCCTTTTTACATGGAACTGTTCCTTGTGCTTCATAACCCTCTCTAGAGGTTGTCCATGGAAGCTTTACCCTTCTGCACAGCAGTACTGCCTTAAGGGAGTTAAAGACATCCTAGTACCTCTACCATAGATCAATGGCCTCCCTCCTACTGGTTTGCTTACCCCAATAGCTTTGTTGAGCCCAGCTGCAACTCTCTATTTGGCACCTAGAAGTGGTGTTTGCCCTTTAAGGGACATCATCTGCTGGTCTGTGTTTCTTTCTCTGACAATGTGTTTGTGTATACGCATGCACACACACTTTCATAAGACTTTCTGCTTGCAATGTGCATACCTATGTTTAAATGATGCCTCTAGCCTGCAGCTAGCCATTTAGTAACACTTTCACTACCCCTTTTTGTTGGAGGATTTTCTTGTCTCAGCACACTCAGGTTTTAATGCAGATGGGAAAGATATCAATTCTGCACAGGGAGAGTCACCTCTGACATCATGCCAGGGCATCTTGGTAATGGTGGCTTCTATCCCTGATGTTGACCTTTGTCAGATCTTTCCTGGTCTCTAGTAGTGTTGTGGAAATTTTATTAGGATGTGTTTTTAGTGTATTGTAATATTTTGTCATTATGTCTCAGTGTCCGGATTTCTGCGTCATGCTCGATTGGTGCGTGACCCGGATTATTCGGCACTGGGAATAAAACATTGGAGTAGATATCTTATGCGTGGCGGAGCAGTGTTTTCTTAGCGAGTGTGTGGACGCCAAACTAGGGCCCCTGCGCAGTGCGCGGATTTATTGGTTTGGCGTGTATACAACTTGCTTTGAGGCATAGTATTTTTTAAGATACATATCTGCCTTTATTGGGCATTGCTCACTGAGCTGTGCTGGGTAAGGTTCACTCCAGTGGTAATTGGACATGTGCTTTGTTGACTGGCTATGTATTGAGGAAGTGATGTTGGTTGTTAACATCACTTCCTGGTTTGCTGGTTGTTATCACTTCCTGTTTGAAATCACTTCCTGGTTTGCTGCGTGAGACATCACTTCCTGTCTGACATCACTTCCTGTTGGGCAGCTGTTAAAATAAACAAATACCTGTGCGGAGGGGTCTCTTAGAATGGAACTAGCAAGAAAGCAACACCTGTCTCCTGTGTCCTAACTCTACATGACTCTAAAGGGGTACTTCCAGTCCTTGCACGAAAGAGCGTAATACAACTGTGCTTTTAAGCACGGGGGCAATTCTTTGTGTTTGACATACTTTGGCGCAGTTTAGTGCGGCATGGATTTGTGCGTTGAACCAAGCGAATTTCCATAACAAAATGGCGAGCCAGGTAGGAGTCGATAGGGGTAAAACTGTATTTCTGCCCGTTGTGTCAGAGAATTTCTGCTCGACGAAAGAAAGTTTTCTCTCTTTTTGCCAGGACTAGGTAAGTGCTTTTGAGTTGTGTAGTTTGTGGTGGATCTGAGTTGATTGTGCAGAGATTGTATGGTCAGATTGTGACGTGTGTGGTGAGAGGGCTGCTGTGTATGTGAGATGAGCTCAGTGTTAAGTTTTTGCGGTAAAAGTGTTTTATGCTGAGCGGAAATCTATTTGGTTTTGGGCTGGAAGTCAGTTTGATGCAGTTTTTGTCTTCTAGGATCTAAAGCTCAGTTATTGGTGTATTTCTCTGTGTTTGTACTGGATCTCAGAGCGGCCATCTTGGTGTCCTTTGTGTAAGACCATGTGGCCAGCGGCCATCTTTGTTTTCCTTTGTGTTTGTTTTTGCATTGAGGACCACATGGCTGAGCGGCCATCTTGTTTATGTAGTGATTTTATTCGGTTTTAGTTTAAGAAGGCAGTTTTAGTGCTATGGTTGCAGTTGTGAATTCAAATTCGTTTTTTGTTGTATTCGGTTTGGTGCTGCAGGTTTTTAACAAGGAATTCAGTTTTAGGCTGGTTCACTTTCAGCTGAGTTTGGCGTCTATGGTAAGCGATTTGTTTGTTTTTGCATCAAATGTCTGTTTTTGTGCAGGATAGTGATTTTGTCTTTTTGTAACTTTTATCATTTTGTGAACATTAGGGGCAGTTTAGTAGTGAAATTGTCCTAGAGTTACTGATTTTGCTTAATGCTTGAGTGTCTGTGGCTGTTATACTGAATTGTGGAATTGCTTGGCATAGTTAATAATTGGTGGTTATTACAGGTACTGCAGTGTAAAAGGGTGGTGCTTTGTAGTTCTGTGCCAAAAGTATTGGGACAACAAGCCATAGAGTTTGATAGCATTAATGCGATTGCAGTGTTACTATTCCTGTATCATGGAAGCCATTTTTAAAGAGCTAGCGAAAGTGGAAGGGACGGCGGCCATTGTTGAAGCCATGCAATGATCTTCTGACCTGTGGCGACAAGCGCAGAGTTGTGTAACACACCTGGTTGCTTCCAGAAAGTGGCGCAAGCAAAAGGGAAAGTATGCTCTGATTTTTGCTGCTGGTTGGATAGCAGATAAATATCAGGAGTCCTGTAGGCTGAAGCTGAGTTTGGAAGGACAGGTGGAAGATTTAAAACTTGAGATTGGGAAATTGAGAACTCTTGTCCAGCACGCTGCTGAAGCTAGCACTGAGTATGAGCGTACTGTGACTGAGCTGCGCAAGGAGAATGAACGGTTGTCTTAAAACGTAATGGAAGCACAGGCAGCTGTAAGGGAATTGTCTGCTCTCAGTGCAAAGGCTGAGCATTCTCAGGGTCTGGCCCAGATAGAGTCACTGAAACAACCGTTAGAGAGTCATAGTGCGATTATGACTGCAGTTGATGTTTCTGGGAACTCTGGGTCAGATTCTGAAACTGACTCAGGGATGGAGATGGACGATGTAACTGTGGTTGGAAGTATTAATACAGTCCAAGAGGTTACCTCAGATGAGTCCGGTGTGGGATCTGGTCATGCTAGGATAGGTAATGTTGGGCAGCATGTGCTCAGAGGTTGCGTGCGGGGGGCAAGCTAAGCGTTGTTTCGCATGCCAAAGAATTGGGCACATTGCGAGGAACTGTGCGGTAACTAATGGCAACATTCACAGAGATTCTAAGTCTCCTAGAACCATGCCTTAGAGTGAAGTGGTTTATTCAGCAAGGTCGGGTAATGGTCCCAGACATGGTTCTTTGCAAAGGCATAGAAGCCAGGGACAGCCTGGGCCTTGGACTCTAGGAACAGATTTTAAAGCCCAATATGAACTGTTGAAATGGGAAAATAGTAAACTTAGGAAAGAACGAGATCGCTTCTGGGAACAGATCAGAGTCTCAAATTTTGTGTACCAGAGAAGGGGAAATGAAGAGGTGTTGTTGAGATCTTTCTAAACCATTTTACTGTTTGTATTTTGCAGGAAAAATGTGGGGACTGAAATTAACGTAACTTTTCTCTCCCTAGAAACCTGTATTGGGGACCTTTTTTGTAATGTTAAATCCTGCTTCTTTGGTAAAATTAATCTAACATTGGCTTGAGACTGGAAATATTAGCATTTCAATTCAAGAAACTGTCCTTGCATTGTTTACTGTTTCAAGCGAACCCACCAAGACAGTGATATTTTAATCACACTTTTCTTCAATGGAAGGGGTGTGTTTGTTCCAAAGGCAATACGTTTTTATTCTTTTCTGTTTTTGTATTGAGTTTCAGTTTTAAGGGAAATTCTTACTTTTTGCTGAATTTCAATATATATAGCAAGACTAACTTGAACTGTGAGAAGTTTTTTTTGTAAGGAGTATGTTTGGGCGTTTTTTTGTTTCCTGAGAGGACAATTCATGCCCCCTCCCCCATTGTTTTGGGTTTTACAGCATGAACTACAGTATCGCATTACTGTTGGTTTTGCGGTAGAAAAGAATTTGGTTTTACATTTTTTTTATATTTACTTTCCTGAGGCGGATTGCGCAAGCGAGAGTAACAAGTTTTTTGTTTAGAGTTGCGTAGCGCAGCGAATAGTCAATTTATCAGGAGTATTATGTGACTACTGAGACATCGTACAACCGGTAAATAGACAGCATAAGGCTTTCCCCATTAACAACTGTAGTGAGAGAAGCCACATTGCACTGTAGAGAAAAGCGGGCGTAAGTGTGCTGTGCAGTTTAGTCTGGCGACGCAGTGTAGGGTCATATAGCGGATACGGTTTCGTATGCATACACTGTGAGGGGTGGAGACATAATTCGGTGGGGTGATCTGTGGTTGTTGCATAGTTATATTACGGGTATTACAGTGGTACTCTGTGGGTCTGTGCCAAACGTGTTGGGACAAAAAGCCATAGTTA